TGAAAACAACCCTTTGTAGGGCTCAAGCAGACACATTTAATACCTAGTCTAAGGGGGGCCAGGCAAATCAGAGCCAACTAAAGGCTGCTTCGCCCTACCTAGCATGCAGTCCCTGATGATGCCTTGTAGGCTTATAAATATCGATCCACCCTGCCTGTGGCTACTTCCATGCCGATGCTAAATTTGACATTTTGTGAAGTGCTAAAGAATCACTGTGGCAAGTGGGTCACAGACAAACTCCTACAGGTTTGAGAGCAGAAAACACTTCACGGCTTCGCCTGTGTTTCCCGGTGTCTACCTATGAGCTTTGGCTGCTGGCAGAGAGAGCTGGGAGAGGAAAAACCAAACATGGGAAGGGCTTACAGGAGAGACGGCTTAGAGCAAGAGATGAGGGCTGTTGGATGAATGTGAGCGAGAGTTTGCTTTTTTAATCTTGGCCCAACTTATTAAAATCATGGCTAGTATACAATTTTTAAAAATTGACTGGAGCGGGGAATGCACCTGCCGTGAAAGCTCATGAGGCGGTCAGAGGACAACCAGCAGGGGCTGGGGCTTTCCTTCCACTCAGGGTGCCAAGCTTGTCAGCAAGCACCTTCACACTCTGAGCCATCATGCCTGCCTCACAGGACACAACTCTTTGTATATTTACAATATGCACGCAACTGTGAGGCTAAGCCCAATGGCATGTATCTGAGAACCCAGCATTCAGGAGACAGAAGCAAGAGAATCTTGAGTTTGAAGCCAACGTAGGCTATGCAGTGAGGTCCCTGTCTCAAAACAAAAATAAAAACTGAAAACAAAAGTTTGCAATCATAAGAGAGGCATCGGGACTTTGCAGTTTGGATGGTTGAATGCCTAAAAATCTTTAGCTCTCCCGTTTCTGAGCAGTGTGCCTTGGACTAGAAACAACGTCTTTGTACTTCAAGTGGAAATATAAGACTCTCTAACAAGGTTATGATGATGGTTAAATGTCAAGATGTGAGCAGGTACTTAGAAGGGCATCTCGCTGTAGGAAACACATCATAGGATGTGGCAAACTTGCGTTGTTTTGTTCCTGGGAATATGACAAAGGTTTTAAGGTCAACTTTGGGTGATGAGACAATAATGTTTTTTTTTTTTTTTTTGGTTTTTCAAGACAGGTTTTTCCATGTCGTTTTGGTGCCTGTCCTGGAACTTGCTGTGTAGCCCATGCTGGCCTCAAACTCACAGAGATCTGCCTGGCTCTGCCTCCCAAGTGCTGGGCTTAAAGGCATGTGCCACCACCACCCGGCGAGACAATAATATTCTTATTACATTTTTACTCTGTAGGAAAATCATACATGTATACTACAGAACATACCTACCTCCCATTTTCCCCCTCCAACCCTCCCGATAGGTCCTTCTCCCAATTTCACATCTTTATTAATAATCCACCAAGTCCAGTGGGAGCTGCCATATGTGCATGGGTGTGGGGCCATTGACTGGAAGATGGGAATCCAACTAGTGGCGACATGCTCAAAGAAGAATGATCTTCCCTTTTATCTACCAATTGCCTATAGCTCCTCAGTTTGGGGGCGGGGGATCTACAGAGCACCACCAACACCCATGCTAGAATTCGGACCAGCTTGATTCTGCAAAAGTAACCGCAGCTGCAATGCATGTGCAATAGCCTTGTCGTGGCCAGAAGACTGCATGTCAAAGTACTCCTCATTCTTATCCTCTGGCTCCTCTTTTGCAATGTTCCTGAATGCTTGGGCTTGGGATGGGGCCCTTCCTGTTTAGGAATAAGCACTCATAGATTCTTATTCTCAGCACTTTGACCAGTTAGGGGTCTCTGTGTTGACTGCTGTCAACTGCAAAAAGCAGTTTCTCTAACTGTAAATGGACGTTTCCTATCCTGACCGCCCGGTCCAAAATAACTGACCCAGAAGCTTGTATTAGTTACAAATACTTGGCCAGGCTTTTTACTAGCTAGCTCTTACATTTTAAGTTAACCCATATTTCTATTTATGCTTTGCCATATGACAGTACTTTTATTAGCATGACATGTTCATCTCCTGCTCCCTGTGCAGCTGGCTGGTGACTCCTGACTCCACCCTTCTCCTTCCCATCATCCTTAGTTTGGTTGTCCCACCTATACTGCCTGCCTGGCTACTGGCCAATTGGCCAATTGTTTTATTAAAACAATTCGAGTGACAAATCCTCACGGTGTACAAGAGGATTATTCCACAGCATCTAACCAATGTTGAGAGTAGCCCAGGCTTATTGGTATAAGCATAAATGCTTAGAAGGCAATTTGACAGCATGAACATTTAGTAAAGTAACTGTAGCAGGCTATACCCTAGGGCTTTTCTCTTTTATTTATTTAGAGCATGTCTTGTCTTTTAATGAACTAAATAACAGTCCACTTTTGTCTGCCTCTGACAGTTATGGTTGCCTATTATGGCAATAGATGACTGATAATAAGGGAACACAACAAGTAGCTGTGGAATACCCACCACAGATATAGGGATGGTTAGCAGTGATACATTTGCTTTCAGAACCTGCTTTGCCTCCTGGCTTTCTTGTTTATCTTTTAAAAAAAAACAATCATTTGGGATAAATTGAAGATTTCAAAAACATTAGACGATCAGAACAAATTTTATACTTGTATCCTCTTTTCTTTTGAGTTAATCTCTCCAATCTTCCTTTTACTCTGATGTGCCCCAAATTAGACATAGCTATGTGAATTCCTGAAGTCTTAATTTCTCCTGTTTCTGACATTACTTCACTGTGATCAAATATATCAGAAATAAGCGTCTGCTTATTCTGCTATCTAATGCAAATTTAATCACACAACATGATTTTATTTATGTCTGGCTTATTCACTTGCTTACATCTAGAAGCATGCATCAAATTTCATTTGTTTCTATGGCCACGTAATATTCCTTTTATGTATAAATATTTACCTATTAATCTGTTGGATATTTAGTTGTTTCTAGGTTGAGGCTACTTTGTATAATTCTGCTATTAATGCTGGTGAATATAGATGTTTGGTCCATGCTTTGCTGGATCATAAGTAAATTGTTTAATTTCTGAGTAATTTCCAGACTATTTTTCACAATGCTATGTACCATTTTTACATTTTCATCAGCATCCAACATTAAACATTTTAAAAAGGAGAACCATAGAATGGCAAAGTAACAGGTTGCCAGTTCCAGTTCTCATACAATTCTTATCTTATTCTCTCTCTCTCTCCTCTCTCCTCTCTCCTCCCTCCCTCCCTCCCTCCCTCCTTCCCCTCTGTTACACACATGGGGTAGGGTAGGGACTGATTCTGAGTGTTTAAGTGTTGTGGATCAAATCCATGTTCTTATGCCTGTTAGCCAGATGAACTGCACCACTGCCTTCCATCACAGCGAAACTCCTCTATTAGAGCAACATTTTTCATGTACACAGTCAAGACTCCCATGGCAATCACCCAAGGAGTTTGTTATATAGGTAGGGCTTTAGGTCCTGCCCCATAAATGCTGGATCAGCATCTCTGGCAACAGATCTCCTCCCCTCAACCAGCATTAAAATACTAAAATATGAGACTCCTGGAGTTAGAAAACTGAGGCCTCCTTGTTGTTGTTTGCTTTTAGTATTGGTTAACAGAGTCGATGTATCCCAGGTTGGCACAAAACTCACAATGTAGCCAAGGATGACCCTGGACTTCTGATCCTCCTGCCTCTAACTCACCAATGCCTGGTGGGTTGGTGTGGGTGCTGGGGGGGTAGATGCAAGAGACACAAGGGTTTAGTTCTTGCTAGGCAAGCACTCTCCAACTGAGCTACAGCCCAGCCCAAGAATGGCAAGTTCTTGAGGGCAGGGAAAAGATCGGTGTCCCCCCACCCATCTTTTTTTTTTAGCCCTTGGGGTCAAACATACAAAAGACATTTAACAACCACCCACCAGTATGTCAAGCTAATATTGTATTGCAGTCATTCTCGACCTACTTAATTGCTACATAGTGTTTAAGACTAAATGTAATCACAATACAGCCAGTTGGAGAACCTGTAATTAAGACATCTTTAATTTACATGGAACATGTTTCTTACCAGTTATCATGACATTTTGTTGCCAAGAATTTTTGTTTCGTATATAATTTTCAGATGAGTCCTTTACACTTCAGGGCAGGGTTTGTTATCGTTTGGCGTCAAGGGCTTTGAAGAACCATCTAGATGTGGCCTCTCTTTTATAAATTGCCCATCGGCATGTTGTAGCTTTACCAACCGCCTGCTGCCCAAGCACAAGTGATACTATGTCTAAGAAAGCCTAGAGCGGAAACCGTTATAGTAACCATGTGGTCTAGTAACTTGAAAGCATGTGTCTCCAAGCCTTCTGACGACTTCAAAATATGTGTGAGTTTCACAAAGCAATGCAAGCAAACACGCAGATGAGAACAGAACATACCGCCAATAACGGGGTGACCATTCAAATACAACGTTCATCCATCCTGTGCTGCCAGCGTTTGTACCTACACCACGTGCAAAAACCGTCACTAAACAAAACCCAAGTCTTCCGCCAGGAACTTAAGCTCCTCGGAACTCACGGTTACACGCAATGAGCTTGCCTGCACATCCAAGTTCCCTCTCCGGGTGTCGCGGGATCAGCTGGAGCGCTTTGGGCGCGGTCTCTTTAAGGTGCAATAGAACTCTGATCGCATCGATCACAGGCTGGCCTCCGCCTGCACCCCCCCACCCCGGGGGACCCCGTTTCTCCCCAGGCTTTACTCCCCGCTTCCCGGTAGCAACCCTCGGGGGGGCGTCCGCCACCTCGGATGCACGCGGGCTCGGCTGTGTGCGAGCGCTGGAGCCCCCGTGGCGCGCTCCCGTCTGCAAGCGCGGGCGGGCGGGCGGGCGGGCGGCGTCTCGGGGCTCGTCTGGCCACGCCTGGAGCGCGGGCTTTGATTGGCCCGCCGTTGTTGTAGTGACCGGGAGGCGCCGGCGCTCGGGGCGGACGGTTCCGGGCGCCGTACGGTCCCCCCCGACCCCGCCTCGTCCCCGCCCCTCCCTGGCTCCCGCCGGTCCCCGGAGCTGCCCGCTCCCCGCATGGCCTCCGCCCCGGTAAGGTCCCCGCCGCTGGCTGAGCCGATCTCTTGGCGGCGGGGCCAGGGAGGGGGCACCACGCCGGGTGTGGGCAGCCCCGGCCCGGGAGCTCTGCCGAACGAACGTTCGCTTGGAGCCTTTGCCGTGGTCCCCCCCGGCGGGGCGGTGAGCTCTGCTCCGGGGATCCCGGGGATCCCGGGGATCCCGGCTCTCGGACCCCCCCCCCCGGCCCTCCCCGGCCGGCCTCCGCGCCACGCCTGCGTCAGAATCACTTGGGAGGTTTAAAGGGCGCGGGAGTCGGCGGCATCCCCCGGCTGCGAGCCTGGGGTTGTGGGGGATGGAGGGGGGCGGCTCGGGGCTCCTCCGGTTGGAAAAGGGGTGGCAGGGGCCGTCCCCGAGCCTGTCACCCCGGAGGTGATGCCCGCGCCTCCCTCGCTGCCCACCGATGAGCCAGCCGGAGGTCCTCTCCGGTCTCGGGGAGGCAGGCAGGCGAGGGGGCCGGGGGAGGGGGAGTGACAAGCAGCGTTGACCTCTGATTCCCCGCGAGTTCCGAATTCCGCACCTGCTTTCAGACTTGACAACTTTCCGTCCTAGGAGGACCCGATTCTGGAACGTTATTTTAAAGGTCACAAAGCCGCGATCACCTCCGTGGGCTTCAGCCCCAACTGCAAACAACTTGGTAAGTTTTTGTTGTTCTCGGTTTTGTTGTCGTTGTTGTTTTTTGCCTTGTTTAGTTCTTTTCTTTTTGTGACGGTATCCAAAGCTCGCTTGGTTGAAAGAAAAACCTGTCTTTCCTTCTCCTTCGTCCCTGTCCGAGGGAGCCAGGCGCGATGGGGCGCACCGGGCCACTCTAGGTCCCTCTGCTCAGTCCCGACGCCGCCGGTCTGGGCCTGACACAGGCAACTTTCGTGAACTAACCACCAGGAGGAGTGAGTGGGAAAGGGGAGGGGTTTGCGATCGGCCCGGGGAGGGTGGAGTATTGGCCGGAGAGTTTGTGAAAAGTTCTGAGGCGAGCAGGAGGAAGTGGGGATCGAGCAGTTGAGCCGCCCCGGAGGAGGCCGAGGAGCGAGTGGGGGGCGTCTCAAGTGACCCCCTGGGAAACTCCGGGTGTCCGGGACGGAGCCGAGCGCCTACATGAAAGGAGGGACCTGGGTGGAAGTTCGCCCCTACCTGAGCCGGGAACTCCAGCTGCAGGCTCCGCAGCGCTTCCCCAGCGTGCTGGCTGGGCTGGCCGCGTCTACGCGCGACCCGCGAGGATCCGGATGGCCGTGAGGTGGACCTGGGCAGGCAAGAGCTGCCTGCTGCTGGCGCTTTTAACCCTGGCTTACATCCTGGTGGAGCTCTCAGTCTCCACTTTGTATGCCTCCCCAGGAGCCGGCCAGGCCAGGGAGCTGGGGCCAAGGCGGCTCTCAGACCTTGAGACCAGGGAAGAGGATTTGTCTCAGCCTCTTTATTTAAAGCCCCCTGCGGATTCCCATGCTCTTGGGGAATGGGGGAGAGCAAGCAAACTCCAGCTCAGCCAGGGTGAACTGAAGCAGCAAGAAGAACTCATTGAGAGGTATGCCATCAATATCTACGTCAGTGACAAGATCTCCCTGCACCGCCACATAGAGGATAAAAGAATGCCTGAGTGTAAAGCCAAGAAGTTCCACTACAGGTCGCTTCCCACCACCTCCGTCGTCATCGCCTTCTATAATGAAGCCTGGTCCACTCTGCTTCGAACCATTCACAGTGTTTTAGAAACTTCTCCTGCGGTGCTTTTGAAGGAGATCATCTTGGTCGATGACTTGAGTGACAGAGTTTATTTGAAGGGACAACTTGAAACTTACATCAGCAATCTCGAGAGAGTTCGCTTGATTAGAACCAATAAGAGAGAGGGCCTGGTCCGAGCCCGCCTCATTGGGGCCACTTTCGCTACCGGGGATGTCCTCACGTTCCTGGACTGCCACTGTGAGTGTAACACTGGTTGGTTGGAACCCCTTTTAGAAAGGATTAGTACGGATGAAACGGCAATTGTATGCCCTGTTATTGATACAATCGATTGGAATACTTTCGAATTCTACATGCAGACTGGGGAGCCCATGATTGGTGGGTTTGACTGGCGTTTAACTTTCCAGTGGCATTCTGTCCCCAAACATGAAAGGGACAGGCGGACATCAAGAATTGACCCCATCCGGTCACCCACCATGGCGGGGGGACTGTTTGCTGTCAGCAAGAAGTATTTTCAGTACCTGGGAACATACGACACCGGGATGGAGGTATGGGGAGGTGAAAACCTTGAGCTGTCTTTCAGGGTTTGGCAGTGTGGTGGCAAACTGGAGATCCACCCCTGTTCTCACGTGGGCCATGTGTTCCCCAAGCGGGCGCCATATGCGCGCCCCAATTTCCTACAGAACACTGCCAGGGCAGCCGAAGTCTGGATGGATGAATACAAAGAACACTTCTATAACCGCAACCCTCCAGCTCGGAAAGAGGCCTACGGTGATATTTCTGAAAGAAAGCTACTGAGGGAGCGGTTGAAATGCAAGAGCTTCGACTGGTATTTGAAAAACGTGTTTTCTAACTTGCACGTCCCTGAGGATAGACCTGGCTGGCACGGAGCTATTCGCAGTATGGGCATCTCTTCCGAGTGCTTAGATTATAATGCGCCTGATAATAACCCCACAGGGGCTAACCTTTCCTTGTTTGGCTGCCACGGTCAAGGAGGCAATCAATTCTTTGAGTACACTTCCAACAAGGAAATCAGATTTAATTCTGTGACCGAATTATGTGCGGAGGTCCCTGAACAAAAGAATCATGTAGGGATGCAGAACTGTCCCAAAGATGGTCTCCCCACTCCAGTAAGCATCATCTGGCATTTTAAAGAAGACGGAACTATTTTTCACCCTCACACAGGACTGTGTCTTAGTGCTTTCCGGACAGCTGAAGGCCGGCCCAGTGTACAGATGAAAACATGTAATGCCCTTGATAAAAATCAGCTCTGGAGTTTTGAGAGATAGATGAGCAGGACGGCATCTTCTTTTGGGGAGCTGACAGTAGCTTCTGGAAAGTCAAAGTGCCCAGTGATTGCATTTTTCCCAGAAGTCACCCAGCAGCTGGCCGAGAGAACACTGGAAAGCCACGGTTCTTCTGGGGATATCACTCTGAAACTGATGCACGGAGCACCACGGCTCAGTATCTCAAAGTGCCTTCTTTCTTCGCAGGTTGTTTTATTTAAAAGCTCTGTCCATGTGGTCCCCTTCTTCTCTTTAAAGAAGCTGCTGTGAATTGAGATGCACAAAACCCTTAACTGTGGGCTGTGGGTGTAGCCCAGCAGCGTAGGCAAGACCCTGTGTCTGATCCACAGCACCACGAAATACACACTTAAGTTCAAGACTTAATACTAAAGAATGTAAAAGTCCAAGCAAAATGGGGTATGATCATGCTGATTGGTAAATTCACTGCATGTCTTTCTCTTTTTTTTAATCAAAACTTGTGAATGTGTAACTAGAGCTGTTACTATTTTGATTTTGTAGGATTTGAATTTCTTTTAGGCAGCACATTAAATTTGAGGTTTTTAAAAACTAATTTGTCTTTGATCAAGTAGAAGTTGGGCGAATTTGATCTTGAGGAAAAGGCCTGGTGTCGATATATGTTTCATTGGCAGAGGGTATTAGTCTGCATGCAAGTTTGGAATTCAAGTCTGCTCAGAAACCTTGACTCAGGCCGAAATGAAATGGTGAGACATTGACATTCCGTTCTTTGTACACGTGAGCTATTGGACTGAACTGACCTACATATCAATACCTCACATCACTCTGACTCTGTCAGCTGTCCTCTCCGTGAACTTGTTTGTGAGTATAGGGCATTTTCTGATTGCACTTCCTTAAGGTTTGAATGTACTAGAACAGGACTCAGAATACTGCGCCTCCCTTTGTTAATGCCTGATCATTTCAAGTAAACACCATTGAGCCCTCTGAAGCTAACCCCCAGTGTGTTTACTGAAATGTGTGAATCTGAAAGTGGGCCCAGTTCTGCAAAGAGTGTTCAGCTCCCCATGAGTTCTTGCCCACCTGGAAATTGGGACGATGTATCTTAAGACTGTGAGGGGGGGGGGAAAGACTGTCCTGGTAGTTGGTGATGGCTGCCTTCAAGCTCATTGCCAACACCTGGCAGCCTGGCAGTTCTCACGGTGGGTGAACAACTGACCTCGGCTGAGTCCTTTATCTTGCTTGGGCCTCAGTTTCCTCATGGATTGGTTCTTGAGGCTCCCTTTCAATCTGAAAGATCAGTTGTACATCCTCCTGTCCCCTGCGCACCCACTGTGACCTCTAAGGAACACTTTTGTGTCCTTACTTTGAACATAGGTAGTGCTGAGCAGCTGAGGAATGTTCAGTGTTAAAGACAGAGAAGCCAGTTTTAAACTTCCGGGAGCTGAACTCACCTGAAGTGGTGTGTCTCTCTGTGGATGTTGTTATAGTCAGTTGTATAGTCATTTTATTTTGACAGTTGTTGAACTGATTGTGTCCTTTAAAAGTTTTAAACTTTCAAAGTAATTCTTTGACTAAGAATATAAATATTTCCCAAACTAAATTATTTCAGAAGTAAATACATCTTAAGACACTTACTGCTTCCCTACTAACATTTTATTCAGAAATCACAGAGTAAATTTGGGAGTGAGTCTCAGCTTCCTGACTGTGCTATAAAAAATGTATTGCTCCGCAGAGAACCAGTCCTCAGGAATTCACAAGAAAATTGTTTTCACTGTTCACTTGACAGCTTGGATGGAGAGAGGGAACTTTGTAAACCCTGAATTTAAGTAACTTGTTTCGGGTGACCATTTCAAAACATTAAAGCTCATGTGTACGTGTGGCTGTTTCGTTCTCATTGACTCTTGGAATGAAAATCTGTTACTGCTGTTCTATAAGTTATCCGGCAACCTTAAAGTGTGTGGAAAATCTGTCTAGATCCTGTGGGCAGTGCCTGACCCTGGGTTTTATTAAAGGAAAATATATAAAAGTATCCATTCAGAAGGAAGTTCTCCTAAATGCACTCTGGCCTTGTCCATGTCCTCTTGAGAACAATTTTTTTTTTTAACTTTTTTGCAGAATTTTTCTTTTTGTCTTTTTGTTCTTGTCGGCCCCCTATCATATTAGAGAATGACAGTGGACATAATCCGGAAGTGACTATTGAAATTACTTTTATTTAGTACCTTGATACCCCTATCAAAAAAGGGAAAAACCTTTAAGACTAGAGTGTTTAATTCTGTGTGTTTTCTTTTTTCTCTATATTGGTGGTTATGACTTTCTAGGCTGGTGGCTTATTTATATCCATAATTCATAACAAAGGAAACTAGAGTTGTGTTTTTATATGTGGGCGTGTTCCAATTTCATTTACAAAAGTACACCATAATGAAACATGCAAAATATTCTTTCACTTCTTATTTCCAATTTATTGTTACCTGCCCAAGTTCTCTATTTTGCTGTAGATAGTTGGGGGTTGATCTTTTAAGCGAATTTACATGCTTAAATTAAATGTTATGAAAGTATTTGATAGGCAAGGAGTTTCCATTTTGTCCTTAACTCACCAGTCCTGTGAATAGATTATCTGCATAAGCAGCTTAGCGGTTGTTTTCTTATTAAAAAATGATAATATGAGGGTCATTAGAAGGCTTTCTATAACTTTAAATATTTCGTTTGTAAGGGAAAATGTGTTTACTCAGCCAATAGTAGGCTCTTTTGTGTACGTTGTTGATGGTAGCAGATTAAAATATTCTAGGCAAAAGTTTAGGTTGTATACTCTTAGTTGTTTTAGTGTCTTGGTTTTAATGAGTAAAATTTAGATTTGACTTGTCTTTTTGAATTGCTATTTTAATAATAGTTTTCAATGAGCACAAAGCTGAGGTTCTGATTTATGTATTTTGAGCAGTGACTCTTTTTGTTGGTGTTATTTGTAACGTTGATTAAGACATACAATAAAATGTATGCCTAATTATTTTTGTAAATGGATCCTGCAACTGATTTTAGTCCATAGAATTAATATTCCTATGTACACATTCATGATGGCAGTGTGATAGTTACATAAACATGATTCTTTTCCTTACTTGAAAGTTCAGATTGGGTATTGAGAAAGTCAGGTTTCCTGCTTGACTATGTAAGATGGGTTAACCAGAAAGGATTCAGAAGTGGTGTTAGCACTATTATGCATTAACTGCATATGAACAAACTGGAAAAGATAAGGCTCCCTGGGACCCATCCTGTCTACTGTACAAGGATGCAAGCGGTTCCCTGGACACATGGACACTCCTCCTTTTAAAATCTTGAGCCGAAAAGAAAAAGCTTGTACCCTAAACTGCAGCCTCACACCTTTCCCTGTCCATAAGTGCTGTTCCTTTCCACCAGAAGCATGGGTGATTTTTTTTTTTTTCCTTTTGAGACAGGGTCCCATGAATCCCAGACTCTCCTAGGACTTGCTATGTAGCCAAGGATGACCTTGAACTTCTGATCCTCCTGCTTGGCTCTTTCTGGTGAGCTGATGTATTGGCCACATTTAAGGGCACGTACTAGATACATTAAGCGTTTTTTCTTTGTTTTGTTTTTTTTTTTTTGTTTTTCAAGACAGGGTTTCTCTGTAACAGTCCTGGCTGTCCTGGAACATACTGTGTAGACCAGGCTGGCTTTGAACTCATAGAGACACCTGCCTCTGACTTCTCTGAGGGCTGGAATTAAAGGCATGCGCTACCCCACCCTCCACCCCCACCCCCGGCTCTTTTTGCTTTTACATACAAAAAGTTTCTATAAATGCAGGTGCTTGCTCTTTCAGCAACTCTTTGTAAATCATATGGTACCTTTGTGTTTCAGTTTTATGAATGTAAAAACAACTGGACAACTATGTGCAGTATATTCGTGGTTACCAGGGCTCTGGAGGGGGAGGAGTAGAGAATGGTTGTTCATGGAGGGAAGGGTAATGTGATGAGACTATTCTGGAATGGGTGACCGTGATACCACTTGGTGAGAAACACTGAATCCTGTAACAAAGGGTGGGGTTTGTGGTTTTCGAATTATATTTCAGTTGAAAAATTACTTATGGAGAAGAAGAGAGGCTCGGAAACTCCAGGCATCCCAAGCAAGAGATTTTTCATAATACTTACATTAATCCTCCAGTTCAGTATTAGGTGGAAGGTGAAAGTTAGTCTTTATCAGTTTCTCCTAGCAATTCTGAGAAACTACAGGCTCTCCTTTGGCCAGGGGTGGAGAGTACAAAATGGGGGATGAATACCTTCCTCATCCGGCTGTGCCCATGGCAGAATGGATGGCCATTATAATTTGCTAATAATCAGATATGCTTTTTTCCGTTTGCTCTGTTTTATGGCTTTCCCCGGCTAGGTGGGGCCCAGTAAATCTTCAGTAGGTAAGAGGTGTTCTGTGCTGTCTGCTCCGTGTCCTAAGCCCTTTTATTTGCAGTTCTCTACCCCGTTCAAAAGAGGGACGGGAGGGACTGTTGACTTAATATTCCTTTAGTTCATGCTATCATGCGCTCTAAATATACATGCATGGGAACAAAGCTGATGCGTTTCCTAAACCGATATAAAGGTTCATAGTCCAGTGGGAAAGACAAATAGGCACAAGGAAACCCACAGATCCTGTGTAACTAAGTAACTCTGCCTTGAGAGAACAAAGGAGCGGTCAGAGCGGAGGAAAAGCAACCGAGTGTTTGGGGGTGACACTTGAAATGGAATAAGAGGTAAAGGAATAACTGTGCGCAGAATATTTAACGGAAGCCCTGAAGAGTCAGTCGGCTAGGCAGACAGCAGAGAAGGAGCCGGGTAGGAAAAGGCCAAGGGTGGGAATGACCTTGTCTTAGAGAAGCAGGAAAACACCATAAGGGTGGAGTCTGAGACTCAGACAGGGAGAGGTGAGCTTGAGGATGGGCAACCAGAACTTAGGTGGGACTTGGACTGTATAGCCAGGCAAATGGCGGCTGGTGGGCCTAGAGAAGATTTGCCTCAGTTTTTAGTCCCTGGGACCTATGATGTGTCTTTATTTGGGCAAAAAGATTTTTACAATCATAATTTATGATCTTGAGGTGAGGTCATCTGAGTGGTAAGTTCTGTGACAAACGCCCTTAGAAGAAAAACACACAGTAGCCCAAGCCTGACCTGCAGCCCTGGAAAGGCGGACTGGAAGGACTACCGTGTGAGTGAGGCTGGCCCGGGATACAGAGGGAGACACAGGCTCAAATGGAAAGCACACAGCAGTCAGCCAGGCGTGGTGGCACACGCCTGGAAGCCCGAGCATTATTAGCAAAGCCGAGGCAGGATTATTGAGAGTTTAGATTAGCCTGGGCTACCTAGAGAGACCCAATCCCCCAAACCAAACAAACCAGTAGAAAACAGATAAGGGGCGGCCATAGGAAGCCAGAGGCCCAGATGGCAGACGGCAGTGAGGGAAAGGGAATGGAACTCCCAGGGCCTCTGGAGGGACTGTTTTTCTGGCGGCACCTTGACCTCTGGCCTCCAGACCTGTGACAATAAAACCTGTGTTGTTTTAACTTTCTAAGTTGACGGCAATTTGTTACGGCTGCCACAGGAAACAGAAGCGTATTCAGGGACCCAGGCTACGGGCTTAGGATCTGATTTATGCTTTGACCTTATCATCATGGCTACTGTGTGGAAGCAAAATAAACCAGATAGTATTGTAAAGAAGTCCTCAAGAGCTGTTATAGAAGTTCCATCAGAAAAGCATTGGTGCACGTGAGGGCGGTGATCCTCAAGCTAGAGTGAGGCTTTGCTAGGAGACGTTAGGGCGTGTAAGAGATAAAGGACATTCAAGGTCACAGGAAGGGATCTGGTCACAGGGAAGAAGCTGAAGAATGAGCAAATGGCCTGTGCCTGAGCCCATCCCAGCTCTGAGCTTCAGATCCAAAGAGATAGGCAAAGGATCGGAAAGACTGGCGAATGCCAAGTCTAGGATAACAGAAGGCCAGGTCTGTGGTGGAGTAAAATGCTGAAGGAGGAGTCAGCAGGGCGAACAGGCGGTGACGGAGAGTGAGAAAGGGGGCCTTTTCAGATGTCTCCACGCCTCTCCAGCAGCTCCATCTGTGGTCACACGCCGGACCTTGTCAGTAGCAGACCCTGATCGTCTGCCTCCTAAATCCGTGTTCTAAACCTGACAGGAGGTTTTCCGTCCCGTGGCTTTCTCAGCAGCTTCAGCTCGAGACTCCTTTGCCTGCCCATGTTCTTCACCGAAGCCCCTCACAAACGCATCTCACCGTGCAGCTTACAACACACCATTCTTGTATTCGTCCCTTTACATGCTGCAGGCAAAAATCCAATCAGTCTGGAATGTCCGAGATAGTATTTGAGCCAGTGGCAATTCCTAGATACACACCCCACCCTATAAACCCAAGATCACCCATTCCACACACACCTTCTCTGCACAGCAAGCGGCAGGCAATTGTTAGCCACCCGCCTCAACACACTGGCAGTGATTTTACGAATGTACTTAAAGGGATTTGGATCCAGAGGGTGATGAGGAGGGAAGAACTGGAAGGAACAACAAGAGGGGAAACTAATCAGGGTATATCGTATGAGAAAAGAGTATTTTCCTCATTTATTTATTTATTTTGGTTTTTCAAGACGGGGGTTTCTCTGTGTAGCCCTGGCTGTCCTGGAGCTCTTCTCTGGAGACCAGGCTGGCCTTGACAGAGATCTGCCTGCCTCTGCCTGCCAAGTGCTAGAATTAAATGTGTACCCAGCCAAGATTCTATTTTCCTCCTTCCTTCCTTCCTTCCTTCCTTCCTTCCTTCCTTCCTTCCTTCCTTCCTTCCTTCCTTCCTTCCTTCCTTCCTTCTTTCTTTCTTTCTTTCTTT